CCTCAATTCGCCTCTGGCCGCTTAGTGCTCTCACACGAGCCCTTTGTCAAAACCAGCAGTTTCAAGAACTTGGCGGGTGGTGGGATATGATTTTGCGTGATTTGCATGTTTTGAAGGGATTTGGATAAACTACCCTTCCTCATCGGAAGGTGGATGCCCAGCCTTGCAGCCGCGAAAGTAAAGAAGGGTCCCCTAAACAGCTCTCGTCACTCGTTCCCTTGGGATCCTGCCTTTCTCTGCTAGCTGTAATATCGCAAGAAAATCTAATATGGTGTTCATCTTCAAGATCTTCCGAGCCTGCAAGGAGTTTCCAGACCGCGCTTCGGTTCTTTCCAGACCTTTCCGCACCATCACGACTTACCCAGAAAACGCGTCGCCGCGCCGATTGTCATCAGCGTTTTCCCCGTTGAGCATATGTCTACAAATTCGAGAACCCTCTTGAATTTGCGCCAGAGCCTCTCAATTGTTGCATTACTACTATCCCGACAACCCAGCTTTGGACCTTCTTTCAGACTTCGCTAACATGGCTCGAGCTTGTGAGCTCGTGCTGCTTGCCGCCGTCGCCTTCCTCCTCGCGAGCACGGCGACGGCCTTCATCACACCATCGTGCATCAAAGAGGCGCAGAAGCTGGTCAAGGTGTTGGACAAGCAACCCTCGCTGTACAGCTCCATTTCGACCGAGCTCAAGAAGCTTATCAAGGCTAGGCTGTCAGTGAGTACTTCCCGCTCCTGCATTTCTACCACACTTGTTGTCGACATTGGTGTTGCAGTGCTTCGCTCGCCAAACTTTCACGTTACTCGTTTTGGCTTGTCTTCGCAGAGGGGGGTTACAACGTCGGCGAATTCTACGACAGCACGCTTCTTCTGCCAACCAACCAAGCTCTCGCCAAGGCGAAAATCAACCCAGCCAAGATAAAAAACAACGAGAAGCTCTACCGAATCCACATTCTGCAAGGCCAGCTCGACACAATGGCCGCGGGTAAGGTGCAGTGGACCAAGCAGCCCGGCGTGACCTTGAAGATTTTCAGGGAGCCCACGTCTCCCATGAAAATGGGAATCCGGCTGGTCAAGTCAAAGCAGCCGCTGGCTCCCGTTCTGGCGCATCTGCACACGGGCACGGAGAACTGCTTCGAGGCGTACGGCATCGACCGCGTGCTCGCCTAGTCGTAGCGGCGTGGCGCAACTATAGATCCAGGGGCAGCACCATGAGAATGTGGCTGAGAGACTGACGACATCGCGAAAAAGGACTTGCCAGAAAGCTGCGGGAAAGTTGCAAAAAGGATACTTTTTGGATACCTTGGTTTTGCAACTTTCCAGTGATGGTCAAATGTTGCAGAAATCGTGGTTGCGGGAAAGTTGCAAAAAAGTTGCATTCCTGCAACTTTCCCGCAACACAACCGCAACTTATCGGACAATCTTTGGACACGTTGCGTATACATTTCAGTCACATGTATGCAGTTTCACCACCTGCCACGTGGCATGCGTACAGTTTCGACTTCGAGGTGTACGTACGCTAGAACGTTCGCGAAGATATTTTGCCACGTAAGCAAAGATATTTCTGCCAAGTGTCATTCTCAATTTGTGAACGGCAGCTTGCCACGTGGACCAATCGGACAAGACTTCGCGTGTGCGGAAATTGAATTCTACTGGCCGACAATTTGTCTGAACAGTACAAGCGGACCATTCGTTTCAGGGGTCATTTGTTACAGGTGGGGTTGGAGGTATGGAGCCTGTACGCAATTTACAATATTATGGACGTCTGCATACATATGATGTATACACATTGCGCTAGCTATACGGAACAACGAACACCTAAAACCAACAACTAGTACATAGCGTCAGGTCCTACAGGCAGTCACACAGGGCGAAATCATGCTTCGTTTTAAAGCCTGCAAACACGAAGACGACATAATGTTAGACTTTGGTTAGTGATATGCTTGTTCCCCACCTTAGTGACATATCACCCGGGGGCTTGCCGTGCGCTGATAAAATTGCCGTGAATGTGCTTGATAGCTACTGGATCTTGATACCCCCCTGCATATGAAAATTAACATGTCGTTACTTCCATTAACCCTGCACATGAATATTAATCCTGAAACACGACGACTAAGAACAACAGACATAAAACCGTTATCGTTAAAGGCTACATTCCAGACATCATGGGATAAGAACGCGCATGGTAAAAGGCTCAAGCAGAGGCAGAGAGAGACCTTCGTGCGACTACCACACCTTCGCTCTCATGCAGAGAGCGTAGCGACGATTTGTGCATTGGGAGGCTGCACGGGAAACCAACAACGTAACTGGTTTAGGTGGCACATGCGGGCAATTCGAAATGGGAGAAAATGGATCTGCATACATCTCGGAAAGAAATGAACAAAATCGAGAAGAGAAGAAGCATAAACCGTGAAAATAGATGAAAGAGAAGATAAGAACAGGAGTGATGGGCGTTACATGATTCTGTATGCTTTCGATTTTCAGTATGCGGGATGTGTAGGTCAATGTGTTTAGCACACTCACCGGCGCTTTCCGCGCAGAACACGGCACTTCCGCTGCCGGGCAACGGGCTTTTCGTCGCTGCGTCCGTAGATAGACGGACGCTGAGTCCGAGGCGATTCGCGCGCAGTACGTCCTCCGCGTGAAGAGAGCAAGGTGAAGAGCTGTATATGGGACGGGACGTAGAAAAGGAGGGGACAGATGCAGGATGAGACGGTAGATGTGGTCAGATGTTAAAGGATTGATACTTCATTTACTAGTGTACTAGATACACGGACGTAAGACGTACGTTCTACGGTATACGCTTGCTGAGGGGACGGCAGAGGCACGAGCTAGGTTGAAATGGAACGATAACCTCAGAAAGTTGTGTGAACAATGAGATGGGCAACTAGCGGAGTAGGGAGAGATACACGCTTAGTGTGAGAGATGCTTCTAGAGCTCCAAAGTGTGATGATGTGTCGTCACGGATGCCGTAGATTTCTGGTGTAGGTTAGATCAGACCAGTAATTGGTCAGTAAAAAATCACGAGGTTGTTTTAGCTCAATCCCGGTTACCTGAGCTGTGGTCCGGGGAAGCCACGTCACGTACCCACAATCTGAACACTTAATTTGATTGGTTATGACATGGAACTGTATGCCAGCTGCCAGTTTCGATTCTGGGTTGTGCCTTGGCGAGCCTCGTTATATTTTGTATCCCAGTTACTGTGCTCGCAACGTTCGATTATGCCTACCTGATTCGTCCTGCAGTGTTCATCAGTCGTACACCAGCAGGGGGGACTCCCGAGCAGGCCTCACGTTTTCAGAGTAAATTACTATGTTTCTCTGAAAATCAGAGTCATTTTTGAAAGTAACTCTGTACCAGCTGGGTAATTTTTTTTGGGACTTCCGATTTCTCTGATTTGTCAGAGTTATGCTGTAGTTTACTCTGAGGCCTCTGGGTTTTTTTTTCGGGGACCGAATTTACTCTGTATAGGGAATACCTGCCGGCCCCCCCTCCCCCGCCCCCCTCCCCTCCCCACCTCCCCCTGCGTTTAGCGGGTTTTCCCCGAATCGTCGAGATCATTCTCCTGATTTCTGTCGTGTGTTGGCGGCAATATGAGCACTGATTGGCTACCGTAGTTTGACAACTTTCCCAACCAGCGCACGATGCCAGCCAGTCCCCTCTCTCTTTATGTCTGAAGTGAACGTCGACGTTTCCCGACGAAACTTTGAGGGACGTCGAGGAATCCTGACGGTCGGAACGCTCAATCCGAGGGTTGAGATTCGCCAGCATTCCCCGACGAAACTGTACATCCGTCATATTTCACTTCAGACACGCTCTTTGGGGGTGTCCGAAGTGAAACGTCGACATCCGTGGACATCCGTTTGGGGATGTCGGTAAATCCTGACGGTTGGAACTGTCGATCCGAGGGATGACATTTACCGACATCCAGCGACATCTATTGACGTTTCACTTCGGACACGCCCTTAGATTATCGATGCCGCCAACACCTCACTCTGAAACATCGCAGTGAGGGGGGAAACGTGGGCGACGCGGAAATGCAAGTACAAAAGGCGTAACAAAAACCTATTAAGGTCATGGTACACCAAACTTAACTAACATCAGAGTAGAGAAAAATATTACTCTGACGTGCCTGGGTTTTTTTTTGAAAGTATAGGGTTACTCTGACAAATCAGAGTAAGGCACAGGAACAACCCTAGATTTCAGAGTTGGGAAAAAAACTACTCTGGAAATCAGAGTACCTAAAATCCAAAAATAGGCCCTGCTCCCGAGGTTTGGTCGTGACCAGGTGTACTGTTCGGTGAAGATGTTTCGAAAATGATGCAATAAATTCGCGGCTCGGGCAACCCACGTATCCAACATTCGCGCCTCGGGTAACCCACGTATCCAAAATGCGCGGCTCGGGAGCCAGGTTGTATCCGAAATTGGTGCATGTTGCATTTTTCACTCAGTGCTTTTCGGATACTTTTCTGGTACGTTTCTGCAACTTTCCTGCAGCCTTCAGACTTAAACTCGAATTTGAGCAAAAACCTTTTCCGCGATGGAATTTCATGCTCTGCGTGTTTGCAACCGTGTTATAGTCCGTGGCATCCTCATGCATTGAAACGCACGACTTTGTCAGCATTTGCCGTTTTGCACGGAATATTATTCGGGCAGGGATGATCACTGCAGGCTTCTGGTGAATGCATTCGCCGTCCATGGCCCAAAACGCAAACAGCGTCGCGGAAAATGAACTGGGCGAAAGTTGACCAAGGAGTCAATTCACACCCTAGTCTCCAACGAAGTGACATTTCTGCAATCACAAGCGTGACAAACACGTCCAGCACTCATGATCGGAGTCAATGCTTGTTATAACCCTGGTCTCAGTTAGTGATAAATATAGATAAAGGGTCACATGATTGTCGGATATTTTTTTCCAGCTGCTGCAAGATCTTGAATACCTAGAGGCAAATGAAGCATAGGTACTGCCGTTGAACCGAACAGAGCAAGTGCATGGCATGCTCAGTTCAGTGGTACTTCTGTGTATGACAGCGTGAGATGAAAGAAGGAATGGCTCGTTTCCTCCTCTTTGGAGTGCCTCTCACACCACCCTCGCCGTCACTCGCATGCCCGCTCCCAAGCCGCCCACCACCCTCACCGTCACTCACATGACCGCTCCCACACCTCCCACTCTCGTCCCCATCACTCGCCACCGCGACAACCGCACGGTCCACTATTGCCGCTCCACCCTCACCACCACCACTCACTCCTGCCCCGCCATTCTCCCTCGCAAAAACCCCACTTTCCCACACTGAACCCTCCTCTTCGTCCTCGTCGCTGCTGTCGCTGTCGCTGTCGTCGTCGTCCCACTCCTCATCCAGCTGCTGCTTCTCAAACGAGTGGGGCAGCAGGTCCTTGCGCGTCAGCACACCCACCACCTGCATGCACTCGCGCACCACGCACAGGTGGCGCAGCCCCATTCGCCGGAAGATGGCATACGCCTTGCGCAGGCTCATGGCCTCGCCCACCACGTGGGGGGAGGTGTTGGAGAAGGGGTGCAGGTCCAGGAACATGTCCTGCTCCTCTACACTCAAATCGATATCCTCGATACAAGGCGTCTTCTTAACGTTCACTATCGCGGTCGCCGTGCGGTGCTTGTGGGACAGAGATTTCGCCAGTCTTCCCCCGGGTGTCTGCCCTTCCGCATAGGCACCTTCAGCTGTGCCACGTGGCGTGTCCCCATTGGTCGCCTGTGGACTGACCGGCACACCCTCAAACCGCACGGTACGTTGGCCAGCTCTAGGTTCCGGCATAGCAGCAGCTGCAGCGGCAGCTGCAGTGTTGGTAGAAAGAGGGAGCTTGTGAAGGGGATTGGTGCGAGCGGTGCAGAGAGTGCCGCGCTGGAAGGCGGACTTATCAGCCAGCAGCTTGAGCAGCTTGGAGCGCAGCACCATGCCGTACAGCACCGCCTGCACCTCCCCCTCCCCCTCCCCCTCACCTACCCCCTCCTTCTCCCCCTCTCCCAGCTTCCCCCCTTCCCTCGTAGCCACTATCTGCACAACAGGGAAGGCGGAGTGGGTGGTGGTCTGCAGGACTCTCAGCACCTCTCCCACGCGCTCCACACTCTTCAGCGCTACAGCCGGGCCCCGCACACCGTCTATTGCTGTTAGGTTTTTCATGAACTCGGGCGGGGGGTATTCCAGCATGGGCAGGCGTTTTAAGTGGCTCGCCTCGTCAACCACCCCTTCGTTGAAACAGTCCCCCACCTCCTTGGCGATGGTTGTTGCGAGCATGATCAGCGGCAAGAGGAGAAGGTTCCCGGTAACTTCTAGAAGCATGACGGAGAGGGAGACAGACATGCGCATGGAGCCGCCCAATAGGGACGCGGCGCCGAGCAGCGCGTATGTCCCCTCGTCCAATCCCGTGTCAGAACCAGATTCTCCGAACAAGAGTAGCCCGGCCGACCGAAGGGGAGAGGTGAGGGAGGGGAGGAGGAACGATGAGAGAGTGGGGGAGGTGGAGGAGGTGAGTGAGCGCATGAGCTTGCCCATCATGCGGCCGTACGTGCCGCCCGCCACTATGAGTGGGACGAACAGGCCAGCCGGCACGGAGCAGCCGTTGGTGATAATGGCAAGCGAGAAGAAGACGAGGAAGAAGATCGCCAGCGTGGCGTGGCTGCGGTGGGGAGGGGTTGGGAGGAAAGTGAGGAGTGAGGGGGGTGAGGGCAGTGAGGGGGGCGAGGGCAGTGAGGGGGGCGAGGGCAGTGAGGGGGGCGAGGGCAGTGAGGGGGAAAAAAGAGAAGGGAGAAGAGGGCGAGTGTGGGTGGCTGTAATTGTGGGGGGTGCGGAAAACAGATGGGGAGCGGCCACTGGTTAAGGCTCGCAAGCTGGAGATGAACAGTTCAAGAGACACACAAAGGACAAGGAGCGGGAGCGCACTGGCTTACGTCGGAGTGGTGGATAGAACGTGTGGAGTGGCGAATACGATGGGGAAAGAGGGTGATGCTGTAAGAACGAATCTGAATGCACGAGGCAGCTGGTGGAATGAATGAACGCATGAAAGCACAGAAAGTGGCAGTTTTGAGTGCAGCGAGTGGCAGGTGTGAGTGCAGCGAGTGGCGGGTGTGAGTGCAGCGAGTGGCGGGTGTGAGTGCAGCGAGTGGCGGGTGTGAGTGCAGCGAGTGGCGGGTGTGAGTGCAGCAAGTGGCAGGTGTGAGTGCAGCGAGTGGCGGGTGTGAGTGCAGCGAGTGGCGGGTGTGAGTGCAGCGAGTGGCGGGTGTGAGTGCAGCGAGTGGCGGGTGTGAGTGCAGCGAGTGGCGGGTGTGAGTGCAGCGAGTGGCGGGTGTGAGTGCAGCGAGTGGCGGGTGTGAGTGCAGCGAGTGGCGGGTGTGAGTGCAGCGAGTGGCGGGTGTGAGTGCAGCGAGCGGCGGGTGTGAGTGCAGCGAGCGGCGGGTGTGAGTGCAGCGAGCGGCAGGTGTGAGTGCAGCGAGCGGCGGGTGTGAGTGCAGCGAGCGGCGGGTGTGAGTGCAGCGAGCGGCGGGTGTGAGTGCAGCGAGCGGCGGGTGTGAGTGCAGCGAGTGGCGGGTGTGAGTGCAGCGAGTGGCGGGTGTGAGTGCAGCGAGTGGCGGGTGTGAGTGCAGCGAGTGGCGGGTGTGAGTGCAGCGAGCGGCGGGTGTGAGTGCAGCGAGCGGCGGGTGTGAGTGCAGCGAGCGGCGGGTGTGAGTGCAGCGAGCGGCGGGTGTGAGTGCAGCGAGTGGCGGGTGTGAGTGCAGCGAGTGGCGGGTGTGAGTGCAGCGAGTGGCGGGTGTGAGTGCAGCGAGTGGCGGGTGTGAGTGCAGCGGGAACTCAGCAGGCGAGATGGAAAGGAGGTTGGCGAGATAGCGCTGGTATGGTGGTGGCCAAACACCAGCCCTGCTGCTTTTGAGTATTCTCGTGTAACACTCAGATAGAGTGCAAACATGCACGTGTACTGGGCGAGCGAGCTGGAGAATTGACACGAGGGACTCATATATAGAGCAGAGTCAGGATACAATTGAGACACAGATATACTTCAAAACTCACGTGTACTGAGCAGGCGAGCTGGAGAAGAGGTTGGTGATGGCGTTGTCGTTGGTGGTGGGTGCCAGCCTGGCCATCGGGTTGTAGCTGCCCGCCGGGCAGGTGAAAGCAATGTAGTTGCCGTTGAGGCTGGGGTCCGGGCAGACATCGTTTTCCGGGCAGGGCAGGCAGCGCGATGCGAAGGGGAGGGCCATGCGGGCAAGGGAGGTGAGGATGGCGATGAGTGCTGCCTCTAGCACCTTGCACCATGGACCGTAGCTGTAATGGTGGGGGGGGGCAGGGGGAAAAGGGGAAAGGGTGGTGAGCAGAAGTTTGAGCAGACGTGTGAGAATCAGAGCATGGCATCAGAGGGAGAGTGTACAGATGGACAGCACCATTCATGGAGAGCACAAATAGACTCACGGGTTGCCTCACGGGTTGCCCCACAGGTTGCCTCACAGTGGTTCGACTGACGAGTGTGGACTCACGGGTTGATTGACTCACGGGTTGATTGACTCACGGGTTGATTGACTCACGGGTTGATGGACTCACGGGTTGATTGACTCACGGGTTGATGTATTTGGCGCGCAGCTTGGCGAGGCGGGCGACAGCGGTGTTGAAGAGCGCCCCCACGAGGCCCCCTGTGATGCCCAACACCAACACAGGTAGCAGCTCCCTCAACCCGAAGTCGCTCTCCCTCTGATGCCATGCACGAGGATGCAGGGATGAGTGGGACTTGAGTTGGCATGTACATGAATGAGAACAGCGCTGCGAGTAAATGGTGGCATGTGCACGGTGGCATGTGCATGGTGGCATGTGCATGGTGGCATGTGCATGGTGGCATGTGCATGGTGGCATGTGCATGGTGGCATGTGCATGGTGGCATGTGCATGGTGGCATGTGCATGGTGGCATGTGCATGGTTGCATGTGCATGGTGGCATGTGCATGGTGGCATGTGCATGGTTGCATGTGCATGGTTGCATGTGGATGGTGGCATGTGCATGGTTGCAAGTGCATGGTTACAAGTGCATAACCACCCCCCCCGACACCACATCCACGGCCTTAACGCACCTGGGCATCGAAGAGAATGAAGCCCCCATCGCTGTACAGCCCACACCGCCCCCCCTCGCATGCGGCCATGAGCGCTCTCAGTGCGATGGCGCCCACTGCGTTCGTGAACAGCGCCTTCCACACCACCTTCTTCTTCCACCTGGTTGATTTAGAGGGGTTGCAAGGGGTTGGGCAGGGTTGAGAGGGGTTTGCAGGGATCGAGAGAGGTTGAGAGGGGTTGAGAGGGGTTGAGAGGGGTTGAGAGGGGTTGGGGGGATGAGCGCCCTCAGCGCAGGCGCCCACTGCGTTCGTGAAAAGCGCCTTCCACACCACCTTCTTCTTCCACCTGGTTGACAGGGGTTGGAGGGGTTGGCGGAGGGGTTGAGAGTGGTTGGGATGGGATGGGAGGTCTTGAGAGCTAGGTGCACAGGGGAGCAAGGCAGAAGAAAGGTTCGCAGCAGGGGAGAGACAGGCAGTTGTGGAGGGAACAACTTGAGAACTTGCGCCTTCAGCTCCACCTGCTTCTCGTACCTTCGGGACTCCAATCAGCAGCAGGGCAGACACACAAGCAATCAGGCAAGAACAGAGCAGCATGGGCACAGCATGGGCCACAGTAGACATGAGCAACGAGGCAAGCAAGTTGCGTCTCGTTTTGAGCGAGTAACAAGTTGGCCTTTTTCCAGAAAAATACTTGCACGAGTCGACTCGAGTAATACTCACGAGTAAACGATCCCTCGCAGTTTACCTCGGTTTCGACACCTGTTTAGCGCGAAACGAGTCGAGTATTACTTGCTCCTGAACGAATACTTCATTACTCGGTCCGAGTAATGAATACTCGTATTTTTTCACGAGTAGCGAGTCGGATGTAGGGGGTAATCACTCGGCGAGTAATATGCAACTCGAGTCCTTTCGTCGGCTGAAAACAAGTCGAGTACTACTCGGGCCACAGCATGGGCCACAGCATGGGGCACAGCATGGGGCACAGCATGGGGCACAGCATGGGGCACAGCATGGGGCACAGCATGGGGCACAGCATGGGGCACAGCATGGGCCACAGCATGGGCCACAGCATGGGCCACAGCATGGGCCACAGCATGGGCCACAGCATGGGCCACAGCATGGGGCACACGCACACGACCAGCAGCAGCATAATGATAGCAACCTACAAAGCCCGTGCCGTTTTATCAGGGGCTTACATTGTGTTAACACAACCGGGTTACCAGGGATGCAGCCATGCAAGAGTGGCAGCACATACCAGGAGGTGAGCTCCTCGAGTCGAGGCCAAACAGGATCAGGATGCCCCCCAGGCGGTTCAGCCATGTCGACTAGGCGAGCAGCAATTGAGAAGATTTTTCTGGCGAAAACAGTTCCCGAGGATGTATTTGCACCCTGCTTAAGCCCCATACCCCGTGCGAGAGCAGCAGCACCCACCAGGAGGTGAGCTCCTGAAGGCCCGCAATGATGCCATTGCCACCCAGCGGGCATTGACACCCAGCGGCCAAGCCACTACCAGGACCAGAGGCCCAGGCACAGAGGATCAAAGCAGCACCCACCACCAGGAGGTGAGCTCTTCAAGAGCCAAGAGAATTCCCCCCAGCGGGCCTGAAAGGCCGCTGCCTGCCACACCGGGGGCTGCGGCACCAATAATGACGCAGTCGTGGCGAGCAGCCGACCCGAGTAGAGCAGCCACCTTCAACCGGGCTACCACAGGTGCAGCCAAACAAGAGCAGCAAAGCAAAGCCTACCAGGAGGTGAGCTCCTCGAGAGCAAAGAGTATCCCCCCCAAGGGGCACTGGAAAGCAGCGGCCACCCCGGCCCCGGCACCAATAGTGACGAGGTCGTGACGCGCCCGGTCGTTGTCAAAGAAACGCAGCCAGTCCGAATACAGCAGCCACCACTGCCGCCGCTCCCCCTCCTTCCCCCTTCCTCCTCCCGCTCCTCCCCTGGCCGTGCTGGTCTCTGTGGTACCCTGTGCAAGCAGCGGCTCAGACACTCCTCCTGTCCCTGCTGCTGCTGCTGCTGCCCGCAACGGAGCCTCCTTCTTTCCATCCGGGCCGCCACCCCCGCTTGCATCCCCACCCCCAGATGTACCCGCGGCAGCCCGGCGAGCAAGCCAGTCACGAATGGAGCCGCGGCCAAAGAGAGCAGCGATGGCGGCGCCGATGTGCACCAGAGGGCCCTCCTTGCCCAGCGCTAGCCCTCCTGCTTCCGCCCCCATGCTGCCTAATATCTGCAAGAGAGGGGGGAGAGATAAGTGTCGGGGTGGTAGCTGTTTAACACTGGGTGCCACTCAAGAGTCACGCCGATGTGCACCAGCGGACCCTCCTTGCCCAGCGCTAGCCCTCCGGCCTCCGCCCCCATGCTGCCCAATATCTGCAGAAGAGAGAGGGGAGGCGTGGAAAGGGGTGGGAAGCGGTGGTCGATATTTTCCACCGAGTGTGGCGAGAATGAGTTGACTCCGATGTGCACCAGCGGACCCTCCTTACCCAGGGCTAGCCCGCCCGCTTCCGCCCCCATGCTGCCCAAGATCTGCAGAAGAGAGAGGGGAGGGACGTGAAGGGTGGAATGAAGACAAGAGAAGTGCCGTGCCACTTAAGAGTCTCCGCGATGTGCACCAGCGGCCCCTCCTTGCCCAGGGCTAGCCCGCCTTCCTCTGCCCACATGCTGCCTAGTATCTGAAGGAGAGAGAGGGGGGTTCGTGAAGAGGGGTGGGAAGCGGTGAGGCTGTTTGCCACTGAGTGAGTGCGGTGAGCACTGAGCACACACACGCTGCAGAGATGAGGGGAATACTTTGGGTTTGCAGGAATCCAAGTGGGTGGGTGTGCTGCTACTAGGTGCTAGAGCATGGAACAACCTAACATTGATCCGTATTGATACACTCGCCTCGCCATGACTGGCGTTGACTCAGCTTGACCAAACGGGTGCTCTGGCGAGAGAGAAAAAAAAACAGAAATTGGCATGTGCACGCCATTCATTCAAGTACGCATTGACCTTACAAGGTACTCCTACATTGGGAGAAAGGGAATGATGAAAAACACCCAACAGAACAGAGATGAGAGTACTGACTCATGATGACCAGGCACTGACTCGCGTTGACCAGCCACTGACTAACACTGACCAGGGACTGACTCACATTGACCAGGCATTGACTCACATTGACCAGGCATTGACTCACATTGACCAGGCATTGACTCACATTGACCAGGCATTGACTCACATTGACCAGGCATTGACTCACATTGACCAGCAAAGACTCACATTGACCAGGCATTGACTCACATTGACCAGGCATTGACTCACATTGACCAGGCATTGACTCACATTGACCAGGCATTGACTCACATTGACCAGGCATTGACTCACATTGACCAGGCATTGACTCACATTGACCAGGCATTGACTCACATTGACAAGGCATTGACCGACCTTAACGAGCAGAGTGAGTGGCGAGAGCACTTGTGGCATGTCCACGCCGTTGAGGTATGCCCGCACCTCGGGAATCCCCGACCCCGCTGCTGCTGGCGCCACAAACACACAGAGTGCCGCTGATGCTGCCACTAGCAGAGCACTCAGTAACGAGTACACCAGCACTGCCAGAAATGGGCTGGGCGGGGAGAGTAGGGCGCATTGGGAGGGGAGGGGCGCATTGGGAGGGAGTATGAACGAAAGAGTGGGGTTGGTTACAATACTGAACATTCAATCGTGTGCGTGCAACACACACGCACGCACGCACGCACGCACGCACACATGTGCTCACACAGCGCGCACTTGCGCGCGCACACATACCTCCCCCCATTGAGCAGCTCGATGGTGAGCGCGAGCTTGACCCCCATGGCATTCTCCACCACCATGTTGATCAGGAAGGCCGCACCGCCCGTCATGCACCCGATGAGCAGCACCAGCACCCACTTGGCTGCCGTGTACTCCATCGCCTCGCCCAGGCCCAGCTTATCCGCCGCTCTCGCCTCCTCTGATTCCTCTAATCTAGGAGGGGGGAAGAGGGAGAGGGGAAGAAGAGAGGAAGAGGGAAGAAGATAGGGGGAGAGGGAGGCAAGGGGAATCTGTCCAAAATGCACCCGATGAGCACCAGGAGCGCCCACTTGCCCGCCGTGTACTCTATCATCGCCTCCCCCAGTCCCAGCCTGTCCGCCGCCTGCGCTTCCTCCGATTCCTCCAGCCTGGGAGGGGGAGAGGAGGGGGAGGAGACGGGGGGAAAGGGGAGGGGGAAGAGGGAAGAAAAGGGAGGGGAGGGAGGCAAGGGGAGGCGGGCTTTAATGCATCGGATGAGCAGCAGGAGCACCCAATTGGCCGCTGTGTACGCTATCGCCTTCCACAGCCCCAGCCTGTCCACCGCGCCGCCTCCTCCAACTCTTCTAACCTGTGGGGGGAGGGAAAGGGAAGGACGCGGCTGGAAGGGAGGGGGGAAGAGGGGGAAGGGAGGGTGTGGGGCGGGCGCCCACTTGGCCCCAGCCTGTCCGCTGCCTCGCCTCCTCCGACTCCGCGAGCCTGGGAGCGGGGGGAGAACAGGGGTTAGGAGGGGAATGGGTGCGACATGGAGGCGATGAGCCACGAGCGGTAACGAGCGGCGGCAAAGGGGGAAGATGAGCCATGAAAGACTGCCAGGCTGCCGTGCTCTCCCTCCCACAACCCCTCCCCCTTCCCCCCGCCAAACCCCTCCCAATCCCCCGCATTTCCCCCACTCCCGCTTACTCGTAGTCCAGGCTCTGCGCCACGGCGTCGCTCGCGCCCACCTCCGCCGTGTGCTGCGGCGGCTTGCGCTTCGGCGGCTCCCACGGCAGCTGCGTTCCGCCGAACGACCGCGCGCCGATCAGCACGCCCGACCGCGACCGCTGCAGCAGAATCGCGCGCGGGGTCGGCGCGGGGCGCGTGGAGTAGCCGGTTCCGCCGGACGTGGGCGGCGAGTACGACGCGGAGGGGCGCGGAGTGTAGGCTGCGGCGGGGGAACGCGCGCCGCGGGCGGGAGAGGCGGCCGCGGAGGGCCCCTCCGACCCTGATTCAAAGGAGGCGGGGGGGAGCGGCGGACGACCGCCGACAGTGGCGGAGCGCGGTGGAAGGGGAGGGGACCGCAATGCTGCATTTGCGGGGAGAACGATGGGAGGCGGACCGGATTCTAAATCAGACGGCTGAGATGCAGCGCCAGGAACGGAAGGCGACGCCATCGTGTGATCCGCCCGAGCAGCTCGTGCTGAGCACGAGAGGAGATATAAATAGTAATCCGCTGCTCTTAAATAGTAGTTGAACCTAAATAGTAGTGAAAACGAGTGTACAATCAAGCATGCGGCACTGCCGCATGCGACGCACGATGCTGGCGCGTCGCAACGAAAGCAATCTTCCTGAACTGTTTCGCCGTGTCCAGCAACGATGAACGCGAGAACCATAGATATCGACCATGGATGGACCGAACCATTGTTCATCTGAGGTTCAGTGGGTATAAATCAATCGGTGCGCAATGGTATAGAACGGCGAAGTACTTTGTCCAGATTTGGAACGTAATTCATCGTATTGAACCGCGCCATACGAATGTTGAACAAGCAGCACCCCTCCTTCCATCGCTGTTCAATGCCGAAGTAGGGGAGGCAGGGCCACCAAATTTGATTGGTTCGGTTTAGGTTCGGGAGTCAAACGCTGCGCCACGCACCGTGTGCTCACAAGTATCCTCCTCCAATCAGAGGCGTTCGTAACCGAATGGATAAAACTTCAAATCACACACGAGTCCCAAAAGTTCACTTTCCGTGCCGACGAAACGGTTTAGTACGCTAAGATGCTTTTTGGAGCGGTATTCTTGCTTCACTACAGTTCAGAGAATTTTCACCAGCCTGAACTTTCATGCACGAACTTCCGCCCCCCGCCCTCACGCTGCCATACACGTTCTAGGGATATACACGATCTAGTTTATCGTAAGCAATTTTACATAGGACGCAGTAAGCCATTTTACATACCAAGCAATATCCCATACATTTCCCAGATAAACCATGTGACAGTTGCTTCATAACAGAAATTCACTGAAAAATCAGGGAGCTTACTGCATTTAGCTTCTAAGAGCGTCTAAAAAGAACATGCATTGCTACCATCTCTGAATATACAACCATACATCACTCCTATTTACTGGAAAGAAATGTGCAGCCATGAAAGAGCCCTAGACTAGACATCCTCCTCGCCATGCACCCCCGCTGGTCAACTTGCGTTGGACCGCATCCTTTTAAAACCCGTCACCCTCCCACAGCCATGTTGGAGCCAGATCAGAATACACCCAACCCCTTTTCTGCGACCTATGACGCAGTGGCATCAGCCATGGCCACACGCACCAGCGGCTCATGCACTGCCAGCACCACATCAGACATCTCCTCGACCAGCCTCACCACCTTAATCACTCCCACGCCCTCTCCTCCATCACCCTCCTCACTCCCGCTCAGCAGGTCCCCAGCCGCAGCCTTTCTCAGCGCAGCCTGGGCGGCCAGCAGAGCTTGCGATTGGCTGACGGGGCGCAGCAGCAGCAGGGCGCGCAGGGCGGCAGCAACAGAAGCACGGACGCGCAGGAAGATGGCGTCGGTGGGGTTCAGCGCTCGCAGCAGCAGGCTTGACGCCAGCGCCTCGATGCCTGCCCTGTCTGGGGAGGCAGCGGCAACGGCAGCATCAGCTCCTGCTGCTGGGGCTGTCTTGGTGTTGGCTGCAGCGATGACGGCGTCGGCGAGGGCCGAGGCGAGGGCAGGGCGGGAGGCGTCGGGGGAGGAGACGAGGCGGGCGAGGGTGATGCGCGTGGCGGCTACCACGGCCTCCACTGCTGGCGATGGCAGGATGGCTCGTGCTGCCAGTAGCTGACGCAGCAGCAGCAGACTGCAGGGAGGGGCCAGAGGGAGGGAGACCAGAGGGTATTTTGAGCCAATGGGGAGAAATGGAGGTTTTAAATATTCTGCAGTATGAGATATCCTTCTGAGGTGAGGTGCATAGACAGAAACAGACACCATGCACTTGACACTCCTCCCTCGTTCTCGCCACTCACCCAATGGCCACCACAACGACACACTGGAACCCGTTCTGGGCGTGCCTCAGCTTCCCCACGTCCAGCCACAGCACCTCTGCCACTATGCCACCCTCCGCGCCCTCCGCTGACATCACCACCTCCACCAAACCCACGCGCACCACACACGCTGCTGCCGCCCAGTCGATAGACCCAGTCCCGCTGCCGCTTGTGCTTGTGCCAGAAGCCAAAGCACGCTGGCCAGTGCGGAGGGCGGATGCAGAAGGGAGAGTGGCAGCTGCTGACAATGCTGCTGAGCTGGAGGAAGTGGATGCTGACGTGGCAAGGTATGGTTGAAGCTCGGTTCGTGCAGAGGGGATGGATTGGCTGAGAGAGCTGGCAACCCAGGAGAAAGTGCGCGGAAGTTTTTCCTTGATGGTTGAGAGGGAGAGAGCAGGCGAGGACGGGGAGGCAGTGAGGGCAGCAGGGGTGGGGTACACGGGCAGGTCGAAACGTTTGGTGAGGGCAGCTTGGAGAGCGGCGGCGGTGGTGGCGAGGGGCGTGAGACGAGCTCGTGCTGCTGCTATGTCCGCCTTGAGCTCCTGATGCAGCATGCATGGCAGGGGATGGGAGAAGAGGAAGGGAAAACGAAGGCTACGTGAAGGGAAGGATGAAGGCAGAGTGTCACGACGATCAGAGAAGGCGCATGACATGAGGATGTGATGCCAAAAGTCATTCAACCGACAAGCCTAACCAGCCATGCAACGCACATCGTACTGCCCAAGAGCAAACTCAAGCCCCCCACACAGCACCATAGTAATCCTCCAGCCGTCTCCTCAATCAACCCTAGGTCCCTAGCCCCCACAGCCTCACCTCCAGGCGCTCAAAGGCAAACTTGAGCCCTTTCACCACCGCATCTGCCAATGAGCGCGTGCCACCTGTCGCCACCAGCGTGCCCAGCTCCTGGTTGAGCCGTGCCAAGGCGGCACGCGTGGCGTCGTCCCGGAAGGGCGCGCCGAGGCGCAGAGTGAGATCCGTGGCATAGGCGAGCAGCGCCTGCAGACTGTGGAAGGCGTCGGGGGTGCCCTGTGTGAGCATCTGAGCCAAAGGAGCAGGGGAGACGGCAGCCGGGAGACGGGACGGGGTGGAAGGTGGATGGGAGTGGATGGGGTTGGGTGAAAAAGGGCAGTGCGGCTGGCTCACGGACACGCACCACATCAACCACCCACCACATTCAACCACCCACCACATTGCGCGGCAGATTGCTCCCTCACCTTCTCCAGGTCCGCCCGCCATCCAGAGCAAGGTTGGCTGTCACCTTGTCTTGCTGCGGGGGCAATGCGCAGCAGCTCCTCCCGCAACTCGCCTTGCCCACCAGGTGTGCCATATTCAACTACCCACCACACCACACCGCACTGCACTGCACTGTGCTGGTGGCTCACCTTCTCAAGGTCAGCCTCATCCAGATCAAGGTTGGCTGTGACCTCGTCATGCCAGGCGCGCGGGGCAACGCGCAGCAGCTCCTCCCGCAGCTCGCCCACCAGGCGCGCCGCTGCTGCCGTGTCGGGCGGCGAGGCGAGCAGCGACGCGAGTGTGGCGTCCCAGAAGGCGCGGTGCATGGCGGCCTGGTGGGCGGGGGGGGGGGGGGGGGGGGGGGGGGGAAGGGCGGGGGAGGGGAGTAGGAGAGGGAGGTGAGCCAGGGGAGGGGATTCGAGGCGAGCAGCGAGGCGAGTGTGGCGTCCCAGAAGGCGCAGTGCAAGGCGGCCTGGTAGGGAGAGGTGGGCAGGGGCGGTGGGCAAAGGCGGATAGGTGGGAAGGGGAGGGGAATGGGAGCACAGGTAAGAAGCTGAGTGTGAAGAGGCGATGGAAGGTGGATGGGGAGTCGAGGTGAGCCAGGAGCCAAGAGTGGCGCCCCAGAAGGCGCGGTGCATGGCCGCCTTGCGGGGGGAGAAGGAGGCAGCAGGCAGGGGGGATGGCGGTGGGGGGAGGGGTGCTCGGGTGAAAGAGCCGAAGCAAGAGGGGGAGGTGAGGTGAGCAGCAAAGCAAGTGGTGACGTGTGAATGGAGCAAGTACACGGCACAGCAGGCTACCAGTGACAGCTCACTGCTCACCTTCATCCTCGCCTCCAGGTCCCCGCCTCCTTGTGCCGCTGCTCCTGCACCAGCAGCAGTAGAGGCAGCAGCGGACGCCGCGAGGGTGGAGCTTCGGTAGAGGCTGAGGTGCAGCTGCAGCAGCTCAGGGGGGGGCGGAGGAGGACCCACGGGCAGGGCCACCACTGAAGGACTCGCACCAGCACCAGCAGCAGAAGCAGTAGTAGCAGACGCAGCAGAATCAGCAACAGGAGCAGAGGCAGTAGGGAGAGAGGAGGCTGATGGTTCAGTGTCCAAAGGCACGAAGAACGCCCCTGCCCTCATGGGGCTGCCCCCCGGCCCTGCCACTGCCCCCTGCAGCGCCCCACGAACCTCCCTTGCAGCCTTGGATGCGTCGTCCAAGCCTGCAGCCAGAGCTGGCTTGCTGGGCGGGAAGGAGAACTGGAAGAGCGAGCGACGGCCCTTGGGGACTCTGGAGGGAGCAGCGGTAGCAGCAGAGCTGGTGGCTGCTGCTGCAGCTGAGGGTGGATTAGCAGTGGCAGTGGGAGTGGCAGTGGGAGTGGCAGTGGCAGAGAGAGGGCTTGGGTTGGTGGGGGAGGAGGAGAGGGAGAAGTGGGTGGGGGACGAGGCACCCGGGGAGGCACGAGAGAGGTTGAACGGGGAGCAGGCGGGGGAAGGAGTGGCGGAGACAGCAGGGGAGGGGGAGGGCGATGGGGAAGGCGAGGGGGAAGGCGACGGGGAGGGGGAGGGGGAAGGGGAGGCGGAGGGAGATCCGGGGAGAGTGCCAGCAAGGAAGTCTCGTTGGGTGCGGGCGAGGGCCTCGTCCATGCGCGCCACTCCTGCTTCCCCCGCCAGCCCCCTCAGCTTGCTGCGCAGCATGGGAATGTCCTTCGCCACCTGTCGCCACGGGGTTGGTCAGGAATGGGAGGGTGGAGCGAGGAGCAGTGGAGTGAGTGGGAGGGGAAGGAACAAGACGGTGGCAGGTGGTGGTGGGCCGGGCAAGTGATAGCAGTGAGTTGCAGCAACCAAGACATGTAGCAGCAGCCGTGCGGGGCAGACCAGGGCGCTTGGATTCACAGAGAGAAGCACACATCAATCACAGGCTCCATTCCTGTGCCTGCCAAACCACTGCGACCCACTCCGCTCTCTCACCCCCCACTCTTCGCCCTTGTATCCCCGCCCCTCACCTGTTCACGGATGGCTCGGAGGTCCTCCGATATGCGCTCGTCGGGGAGGTGTGCGGTGCGGCGCAGCATGCTGGCGTGCATCTGACACGCCATGCTCACCATTTCCGCCTCCATGCGCTCCTTGTCTCGCGCCTGGTGGTGTATGGGGAGGGGTGAGGAAGCATTGGGGTGCATGGGCAGCAAGGATTGGGGAGCCAGGAAGAGCAAGCATGGAGCAGCATGCTGGCGTGCATCTGGCACGCCATGCTCACCATGTCGGCTTCCATGCGCTCCTTGTCTCGCGCCTGATGGGGTGGTGAGCGCGTTGCACGGGGAGAATGGACGACGACAATTGAGCAGCATGCTGGCATGTGAGAAGCATGAGAGGCAGCATTCACCCCACCACCGTACCTCCCACCCACCATATCTCCCACCCAACTTCCCACCCACCGTGCCTCCCACACGCTGTACCTTCCAGGCAACGAATCTCTCGAGGTAATCCACCCACGCCGCGTCAAACTCCGCCAGATGCTGCGAAAACGGCTTTGCTGCTGCCGCCTTCTTTCCACCCGCAGCAGCAGAAGTAGAACCAGCAGCGGCAGCAGAAGTAGAACCAGCAGCGGCAGCAGAAGTAGAACCAGCAGCGGCAGCAGAAGTAGAACCAGCAGCGGCAGCAGAAGTAGAACCAGCAGCGGCAGCAGAAGTAGAACCAGCAGCGGCAGCAGCCGCGGCAGGAGGCGCACTCGACACAGTTTCAGTCGCGGTGGAGGGACTTGCGGCCGGAGCAGCTGGAGAGGCAGAAGAGGCTGAAGCAGTGGCAGCAGAAGAAGGGGTGGGTCGGGTGAGCAGGAAGCGCGCGAGTCCTTCAAACGCCTTCACGAGGGCGGCAGCAGCGACGCGCAGGGCGGATTCGCGCTCGCCCGTGAGGCACGAGAGCACGGCTTCGGGGTGCAGCACGATCATGTACGCGCACAGGAACACGCGCGGCGGATACCGCCCCTTCCGCGCCACCTCTCCGCCACTCGCGGCCGTTCCGCCGGTGGTAGATGCGACTGCGCTGCTAGCCCCTGCTGCTGATGATGATGAGGGCTTGGGTTTGCTTGGGGGAGGCGCGACCTGCGCTAACAGGTGGTCGATATCGCACACGCCAGCTGCGCCCGCGGTTTGACTGCCCGCGCCCGGCTGCTTCTGCGGGGACGCGGCGGGGGAGGATGAGGGGGTGCTGGCGGGGGACGGGGCGGGGGACGCGGCGGGGGAGGCGGAAACGACGGCGGAGGACACGAGCAGGCGCGCGTGCAGGCGCTGCAGAAACGCGTCGGTGGCGGCGAGGGACACGGGGGACTGGATGCGCGCGGCCACGAGGGGGAAGGGCAGGCGGGAGAGGCGCGCGCGGCTGACTTGGCAAGCGCAAAAGGCGCTCGCGAGCTCGAGTGTGGTCTTGTTGGCGCCCTTGAACTGGCGCCAGCAGCTGCAAGGCGTTGAGGGAGTATGTGATGGGATTAGGGATGGGGTTAGGGAGAGGGGCGGGGAAGGTGTTGAGTGGGGAGGGAATATGTGATGGTGGGAAAGGGAAGACGTTATGATCAGGAAGGAGGCACCAGGTAGAGAAACTTGGCTGTTAGTTCGAGCAAAGATGGTGAAAACTGAAACGAGTTGATGTGATGAAGTGAAGGCGGGAAGAGCACTGCCTGTGCGGGGTGAGGCGGGCGCGTGGAGCATGCTGATAATTCGAGAGACCAGCAACGGGCAAACAGCACGTAGGGGGCACGCAAGGAGCATGCGGTGAGCAGGGAGCAGGGAGCAGCGCGCTAGCGGGGAGCAGGGAGCGCGTCTCACCGCAGGAGGCGGCGCGAGAGTAGATGCCACTGCACGCGGCGGCAGAGCGTCTGGTTGTACAGCGCGCTCCTGCGCCCGCCGCCCTTCCGCCGCAGCATCTCCGCGCGCCTTCCGCGCGCCTTGGCCACCTTGCGCTCCAGCCGCTCCCGCCGCTCGCGGTTCTCGCGCTGCCGCTGCTCCACCACGGTCGCCGCCACCTGCCGCGCCTGCTCCCACTGCGCCGCCGCGCGCTGTCGCTCCGCCAACAGGCGCGCGTCGCGCTTCGACGACGCGGCGGCGATGCGGTCCGAGAGCGCCTGGAGGAGCTGCGCTGCGCGCTCCTGCTCGATTCTGGTGGGAGAGAAGGGAGAACGGGGAGGGAGGCGGAAAATGCGAAGCGGTACGCTAACATGGATTCCTAGCGGCACACGGTTGAAGGAACGAAGAATAGAACATGCACATGCAAGCCTGACTTGAATTGGAAACAAAACAGCACTATCGAATACAATTGGCTGCTATTTTAAAGTCCTGATCTTACTGTTCCTGACGGGCGCGTTGCGCAGTGCGCGTGGAAACGAGCGCCAAGTGCTGCGCGCGCTTCTTTTGCCCCGCCGTGAGGATGGCCGCGCGGTTACTCTGCGCCTTCTCCGCGCGCTCCTCGCGTTGCTGTGCCACACCCGCCACCCACGCCTCGAGCCGCTGCTGCGCCGCTGCGCGCACCTGGCGGCGCAGCTGCGCCGACTTGACCTGCTGCTCTCTCTTGCTGCCCTCGCGCTCCAGACTGCACGGGACATACGGAGGGGTGAGGGCGGGTACGACACTGTTAATATCAATTCATCTTCTCCCGATGACCCCGCGTGTTGCCGAGGTGATATTACAGAGAATTGGAGCATGTTCATACGGTTGACCATGCCTCATACGGTTGCTGCGAAAGCAAATGGTGATGGAGAAACTGGCAAGGTGAAGCAAAGAGCAACAAAACAGGTTTACGCAACGGCGAACGATGACAGCTGATCGGTTTCGAGACCGATATGTTCACACAATGGCAATCAAGTCATTGCCTCAATCGACGGGTTATGTAATTTGATTCATTGCTTTCCAAGACGTGCCATGAAAGCTTATTGACTGATTTCGACAAACACCAACATCAACTGACCGTTTCTTCTCGGCCGACATGAGCCGCTGCTCCAAGCGGCGAGCCATCTCCTCCTGCTGCTGCTCCGTCGCCACCACGTCCTCGTCGTCCGTCGTCGCATGGATGTCGCCACTCTCGCCCACGTCGCCCACGTCGACCGCGTCGACCGCCTGAGGTTCGATTTCCGCCTCACTGGTGACTGCAGACAGACCCGCGGAGCTTCCAGAGCCGTCGCTGCTGGTGCTGGTGGTCATTGTGCTGCTACGGCTTGTTCGGCTGCTCCTGCTGCTGATGCTGCTGGGACTGTCACTGAAGCAACTGTCCTTGCCGGAATTGTCGTTGCTGGGGGTATCGCTGCCCGTGTCGCGCCGGCTCTTGCGATGTTGAGAGGCTCGCGCCTTGCTGGATAGCCATTGGTGAAAGTCCTGCAGGTGTGGCGCGTAGGAAGCACAAGCTAACGCCAGAAATCTTCGAGCCTTGCAACGAAAGCCTAGGAGAACGTTTTTGGAGCAAAAGGCTTGAAAATAACCACCATAATGTGGAATAAAACAGCGCAAATTACTGGCAGGGTGGGTCCGGGAGCACGCGGTACATGGTGGAGAGGCGAGGGACCCACCTGGCGGCGCTGGCGAGCTTCCTTGACGGGAAGGTTCGGGGATAGCCGCGACGGGGAGGCTTCAACCTCGCTCAGCTCTTCCGCAATAGCAGGCGTAGCAGACAACACTTGATCAGACACGCACGCCATGGTGTACTGTCAACGCTATACCGACCAGATTGGTTACCGAGACTAACTATATGAAGGTCGACGATTGAAATAAAGCTGTTTCCTAAAACGATCCGAACGGTATTGCTTGAAACTATCCTATCGTCGAGCACGCGACATCCTTGATGGAGACTACTTAGCAAAAGGCAATCATCGCTTCCCGTCTGAGCATTGCTACTCAAATTATGTAGTTATCGAGTACCGCTGGTAGAGCAGTCTCTGGCAAGCAAGCATGGATTGGTTTGGACGAGAAGCTTCGGTGCGGTACTTCTAAAGGTCTCTGGCTCGGATGATAAGTTCGGTGTAGTTGGGCTAGCTTCTCTGAAATTTTGCAGGTTCGTCGGTTTTTGTCGAATCTGACTGGCTGCTACGGTCAGGTATGGCAGCCGTACCAGAGTAGCCGGAGCTGACCGAGCGGTATGGTATCTATGGTCTCATCTCCTCCGGTCCCGGGCCGTCAGCGACAGTCGGTTCAGCGTCACATCGACGTCATATGCTCACACACGAATATTTCGCCGAGGTTGGTCCGGGGAGCGCAATTTTCGCAATGGGGCTGCCGACATTCGCTGAGTTTGGTCAGGGCTGCTCAGAGAACGAAGTCTCCAAGGGCTGGGAGCTCGATTGTGTGGTGGACGCTGATTTGTTGTTCAACAGCTAGCTCGCGTCGCACCAGCCATCACATGCGGTGCCTCTAACGAGTTGAAACCTTGGGAGCCTCCTCAATTCGCCAGAAGAGGACGGGCCGCCTCAAAAAGCAGCATTCAATGCAATGAGTCTGAAATTGAAGAAAAAGATAAGGGTAAATAGTAAGTAGAAAGAAGAACACCTAGAAGGAAGAGGCAAAGTTGAAGTAAGACAAGTTGATAAGATGAAATTCTTGAAACAGGGATTAAGAATGAAAAAGACTTTAAAGAAGACGATAAACTTGATTAAATTGATGAGAACGTAAAAAAGGGAAAACAAGATTGGCTAAAACAAAATATTGGAGGAATTATTAATGAGAACGGTAAAGTGGCTTGAAAGAGGCTTAAAAAGGGGTGGAAGGAAACTTGAGAGTAAGAAATTTGAACATGAAAGAACTTGTTGGTTATATAAGGAGCTTGAATGTAAAAACAAACTTGATAATAGCAAATTAGCTTTGATGTAAAAGTAACTTACTTGAAAAGTAAGGATGAGAGGAAGAGATATCAACTTACTTGAAAAGACTTCTTACTATTATATTGTAGGAGTTGATCTTCAATCCCAAGCTTGCAGGTTGTCTTTGTTGTTGTATGAAGAACTTTAAAGCTTGAGTGTTGAGGAGTTTATCTTGAATGTTGACTTGTACTTGTTGAATGGAGCAAAAAACTCCAAGCTTGGATATTGAGGTTGGAGCTTGGTCTTTGAGTAGAAGAGGACACAAATCTTGCTTGAAGCCTTAAAGTACATTAATCCAAGAGATGTACATGGTAGGATTTTGACAGAAACTATCATTGATGATCTAGAAGAAAAACTATGTGGCATAAACTTCTCAAGAGTTAGAGCATATGGCTATGAGCTTGGGTTGGGAGAGGTTGCTGATGGTGGTGGAGCCTTAGGAGTTGGAGCATAAGGAGGACTTGAAATTGACTTGAGAGAGCTTGTAGTCAAACTTGTAGAGAGCTTAGGTATGAAGTAGCTTTGAAAGTATGAGTGAAGAATGAAGTGGACCCTTCTTGTATTTGGTGGAGCTTGAGGTTGGATGAAGAAAAAAGGAGGAGATACATGACTGTGATTGGTTGAGTTGGATAAGGTGGGGGTGATGATTGTGGCCTTGGAGTGAAGGCTTGGTGAGTGGGATGAATGTGGCCTTGAATTTAAGGCTTGGTGAGTGGAATGAATGTGGCCTTGAATTGAAGGCTTGGTGAGTGGAATGAATGGGGCTTTGATTTAAGGCTTGGTAGGGAATCTTTTGAATGATTGGTGGAGTTTGGAATGAGAAGGTTGAGGAGGATTGGAGAAGAGATGAGGTGGAGGATTGATGGATTTGTATTGGGTGAAAATGGAATGGTGCCTTGCTGACTGGAGATAAGGATAATGAAGCGGCGAATGGGTAATGTGTGAGAATAACGAGGAAGTGGTTGACTAAGGGAAAGGTTGGGTACAAGTACAAACCTAGAAATGTGTTGTACCCCATGTGTGCTACCCCACTATAGCCTACACAGGCTAAGTCATACAAGTCTGACACACCCCCATAGGCAAAGTGGGGGAGAACAAGGGGTCACAAGACCAGTCAAGCAAAGCAAAGCAAGCTCAGGGTGGATCACAACGTCACCACACATTCCGAGCACAAGTTCAAGGCCACAAGGCCAGTTCACATGCAAGATCATATATAAAGGTAAACAAGCAAGTGCAGGTATAGAAAGAACACAGTACAAGCAAGGTCAAGAAGTAAGCAAGTGAGGCCAAGTAGGCACAAGACCTAGCATCGTACAACAGCGCTGATGATCACAAGGCGGAAGTGCCTTGGTAAAGATATCAGCAGTGTTGGCCTGAGAGGCCACGTAAGCAAGGCGCAGCTGACCACGCTGCTGCAGCTCATGAGCAAGAAAGTAGCGAAGAGCAATGTGCTTCGTTCTGTGCTCCAGTCTGTGCTCCCGACACAAGGCCAGCATGGCCTTGTTGTCTACGTACAGAACTGGAGGAGAACGAGGCTGCTCTCCAAGGTCAGTCAGCAGGTAGGTGAGCCAGCGTAGCTCCTGTGCAGCCATGGCCCCTGCGTAGATCTCAGCCTCACAGCTCGAGCTGAGAACAGAAGACGAGCGGGTAGACCGCTACGAAACAGAACCGGAACCAAGGCTGAAGGTGTAACCCTGTGACGACCGCTGCGTAGCCAAGTCGTCAACCCAAGACGCGTCTGCGTAACCAGTGAGGACCACTGGACTCCGCCCTCCAAGCACTAGCCCCATGCCCGACGTACTGCACAAGTAGCGCAACACCCTCTTCGCTGCAGCCATGTGCTCAGGGAGGTGTCTCCCAGGAGCAACATAGCGTGCCAGAATGCTAAGAGGGTATGCAAGGTCAGGTCGTGTGCAGGTCATCAGGTACATGAGGCAGCCAACAAGCTCTGGGTACGGGCCACTCGGCTCTACGGACTCATCCGAAGGCAGAGCTGAGAGCGAGTGGCGAGTAGACAGAGGAGTGGCCTGTGGCGAGGAGTACGTGAAGCCGAAGCGCTGAAGGACCTGCTGCACCATGTGTGACTGAGTCAGGGTAATGGTGCGCTGTGCTCTGTCCCGGGTGATCTGCAAGCCAAGGTAGCTGCGCAGTTCACCCAGGTCTGTGCACGTGTGTCTCTTCTGCAGCTCGGACTTCACGTGGGCGAGTCCAGCAGTGTCAGCTGTGGCAAAGACCAAGTCGTCGACGTACACGAGGATGTAGAACGGCGGCAAAGAGGTGTCGGTGCGCAGAAACAGCGACGGGTCAGCAGTAGAAGGAGCAAACCCAAGAGCCGCAAGTGTAGTCCTCAGTGTGTCGTGCCACTCACGAGGTGCCTGGCGGAGACCGTAGACTGGCCGCCGGAGGCTCCACTGGGTGCCAGGAGGAAAAGACCCAGTGAAGCCAGGTGGGCGGCGCAGCCAGATCTCCTCGTGCTGGCTACCCTGTAGGAAAGCAGTGCTGAAGTCAAGAGAGTGAAGCTCGTAGTCGCGCTGAGCGGCTATGTGCAGTAGCACCCGAAGAGTGGTCATCTTCGGGGTGGGAGAGAAGGTCTGAAAGTAGTCAACTCCCTGCCGCTGACTGAAGCCTCGAGCCACGTAACGCGCCTTGAAGACAGGCGGAGAACCCGGCGGCCGCTTCACCCTGAAAATCCACATGCCACTGACGATGTTCGCCCCAGGTGGGGGAACCTCGTCGACGTAGGTGCCTGTGGACTTCCAGGAAGCCATCTCTGCGTCCATGGCTGCCTGCCACTGAGAGGAGTAGGGACCCTCTATCGCCTCCGCGTAAGAGCGCGGAGTCGGGATGTCTGGTGCATCCGGGTCTCCCTCAGGGGCCAGCAGCATGGACACGAGATGAGGTGAAGCAGCAGCAAAGCACTGGAACTCCTCCTGCCTGTCCTCAAGGACGTCCGTGCCAAGGGCACACTCACCCCCGACGGACGGAGGACAGACAGACTCAGACTCAGCGACAAGACTAGCAGCGTAGTCTAGATGACAGCGAGCAGCAAAGTCGACAAGCTCAGCAACTAAGGCAGACGCAGCAGTGGACTCGAAGGAAGGGTCAGTGACGACAGTAGTAAGGAGACGCGTGACAGTAGGACTGGCAGCACGAAGGGAGTCCGACTCTGGGTCAGCAAGAGCAGGAAGAGAGGACTCAGGAGGAGAAGGCAAAGGGGCACGCAGCGGAGCAGTGGAAGGACACAGAGACATCCGGTGCGTGCCGGGGACAGGGGGAGGACGCTGACGCGAACCACGACCACTAGTGCGAGCAGCACGGACAGGCGACGCAGGACGAGACGCAGGCTCACGACGCTCAGCAAGACCTCCAGTAGGACCAGTGTAGGGAGAAGGAGCAGGCAGTGGGGAGGCTGGCTGTAACTGTGACTCAGACTAGACAGGCGGCGGACACTCTAAGAGAGGAGCAGGACTAGTAGAGGGCGGAAGACCAAGAACCTGCTCAAGGAGCGGAACGAAGTACGGCCGCGGCCGTGCAGCAACCCCAGAACCAGCAGGAACAGCGCCAGCACCACGAACGGCAGCACCAGCTCCAGTAGCACCCCCAGCTCCAGCAGCGCCAGCAGCTCCAGCACCAGCACCCCCAACAGCAGCACCAGCTCCAGTAGCACCCCCAGCTCCAGCCGCGCCAGCAGCACCAGCTCCAGCAGCACCAACACGAGCACCCTTTGAAGCACCAGCACCAGCAGCACCTCCAGCGCCAACACCCCCAGCAGCTCCAGCTCCAGCTCCAGCAGAAGGAGTACCCGCAGGCCCAGCAGCTCCAGTACCTCCAGTACGAGCACCTCC